GGAGTAATCGGTGTAGTGTGAGTGCCGTGAGGTTATGTGCATATCACGAGCCTACTTTAACAGAGCTTCTTTTTTAAATGAACGGTCCCTGAACTCTATAAAACTCACAATGTTGTTTTCAGCAACATTGTGAGTTTAAAATGAAAGAGAGAGATCTGGAGCAAAGAGGCAGAGCAGTTACCGCGACGATGAGCTCAGGTGGAATGAAGGAATTCTTTCCGAGCATCCAAAACAGCAGCACTTGTTACTGTAATCAACATTAAAACTTCCTGTTCAACAAGCTCCAGTATGAGGAAAAGCCAGCTCAATAGCTGCTCGCGTGCAAAGTGACAGCAGTGAAAGTGAAATGTGCAGGTGAACAATTAACTTTAGACTTGACGGTTAACTGAAGCCTGCAGCAAGCAGGCCTGGGTCTAAAGACGGTCTTCATGAGAGCATGTAAATGTCCACATGACAGGACACGGTCCAATAATTTAATGAACCATGTGTTTCAGAACCTGAAGGCTGTCCTGCCTGCATGGAAAGGACTGCAGCTGATCGCTGTAAGTAGAGTGTGTCTGTGTGTCAAAGTGGTCATGAACCAAGGCTGTCAGGATTCTGTGTTCCTGTTTAGCTGTGGACATGACCAAAAAACAAGCCATCCCAGTGGGCTTCTCAAGCTACCAGCTTAGAAGAACCTGCTGGGAACATTTCCTGAGGGTGTATGAAAAAGCAAAATTCCAGGATTAGTGATATGTTGAGGCTTCACTTTCAGGAAGGTGTCTCTCAGTCACTTTAATAAAAATGTGTTTATATAAGGCCAGCTCACAGTAAAGGTGCTTTTAATGTAAAGACCCTACAAGGGTAGAAAGAAGCTCCAGCAGAACCAGGCTCAGGGGGGGTGGCAGTCATCTCCTGTGACTGGTTTGGGGTGAGGGTAAACAATCATGATGTCGTCGCTATAACAACGCCTAGCCCATTGGGGCAGTAGTTGAGTAGTGACAAACTGTAGAGTGGAGCTAAGCAGGTGCTAGTGGACGAGAAGCTGATTGACTTCACTTGGTGACGGTGCGGCAGTCTTTCTGTATCTGAAATCTGTTCTTTTCCTTTCAGGAGCGGATCAGTGATTCCTGAGAGGAGGCGGTTCTCCACGCTGGCTTTGGAGCAAACGTGTTGTAACTTTTGCAAATGACAGATTTAATAAAGGATGTCGTGTTAAAGCAAACCCTGACTTGGCACTTGTGTTTGGACCTTGTTTACGTCTTTGGCTTGCAGAAACAAGATCAATGAATACTTAGTGGTAATACTCTTTAAAGCTCCGGGGGGATTTTTTTTTTTTATTATTTGATCACTGACTATTTTTAAAGAAAAGGATCAAGTTGTTTTGTTTTTAAAATCTTGCCTTGTCATAGATTTAATTCCTGCACTGTCCTATTAAACTTGAGACTGGCACTCACTGATACTGTTTGATCTTGATGCAGAGGGTGCTGGTATACTGTAGTAGCTTACTTTCTCCACTGGGAGGCAGCAGTACTCCATTAGCTTGAACCTAACAAAAGTACAAAAAGTAGGTTGAAGTTCACGGAGCTCAGAACGGCTTCGTGCAGGAACCAGACACCATATCGACATTCCTCAGAAAGCTGCTGGGAGTTCTCCAATACTAGGTTTAACCTAGAAAGGGCTAGATGTCTCCATGGGCTCTCATGAAGCTGTTGGGACAGGCTATTTTAACATCTTCTAGACTAGTGCTGTCAAGCATGAGGCCTGGGGGCCAGGAAAACCCAGCCTGCTCGGCTAGGTTGGGGTTTTCCTGGGGCCATAAATTTTCTTTAGTCTACGCTTATGTTCACAGGTTTTAGTTTTTCTTTCTCATAAAAACCCCCCACGTGTCCACTGACAGTACACCAAGGTAACTACAATTTCGATTTGTTATTTGTGCACATGACTAATTACAGGTTAAGCTCAGTCATGCTGACTGCTTCTTTCTTTAGCTACAGGAATTCTTTACTATGTAAAAAAACAAAAAACAAAAACAAATGTTGAACCTGCTGCACTTTGTCTTATGTTAAAAGATCTTATTGATTACACGTGTAGTTGCACTCTTGGCACTGACTGAAATTAGTTTGACTCATCCATGTAAGGTAAGAGCATAAAATGAGCTTGACACCCCTGTTTTAGACCCAGATTCAGTATTATACTTCCCTTTTTAAATGCTTATATTGTACAAAACACTTCCTTATTTCCCTGAAGCTCATATAAAGGATATCATCCAGTTTGAGCCCTCTGTTTAGTGTTGACCTCGAAACCTTGATTCATTCTTTAAAACAGCTACTGGACAAAAAAGGCTATAGTGAAATTAAAATGTTCAAGAATTAAATATTTCAAAAAAAATATTTATGATTTAATGTGCCTTATGTATTTTTGTTTTTGCGAGTGATTATAATCTGTGTGTTTCGTTTATTCTACTTTATCAAAGTATTTGGTGATACTGTGAGCTTTCATTTTCATTTTTACTTTTGCCTGTCCCGTTTGGCTCTTTTTCCATCAGAATTATTGCCTAGAGGCAAAGAAAGATGCCCAACGGATTTGCTTTACCAAATGGACCATCCCAGCCTTGCTGTAATGGTCTATTTGATTCACCTTTTATTGTTTATTTTATTTTATTTTTATTTGTTAAATACGGGACAGACTGGGGAAAAGAAAGAGGGAAAGAAAAACAGCGGGGAAGAGGGACGGGGATAAAGGGCAAAAAACATAAGAAATAAAAAATAAGCTGACAAAAACACATCTATCAGATCGACAGCACACAGCGTGCTTTGAGGTAGGAGCTAAAGGGTGCAGTTTGTGATACTGTGAGCTTTCAGGTTTCCTTTACATGTGATACTGTACTCATTGTCAGGCGAAGATTTCACACGTTTTAACGTGTTTACTATAAATGCGATGTTCTCTCTGTACTTCCAGTTTCCTGTGCGCGCATCTGCTAAGCACGCTGTACATTCTCCCAGCCACGCGGTGTCCACGCGTTGTTTCGCCGCGCTGATTGGGCAGGGCTGACACAAACAAAGTTTTCTCCACCAATCAGAGCAGTGTGCACGCACTGAGCCACGCTGTTCATTCTGCCTCCTCGTGCCCAGCTCTTAAAAACAGCCTCCCCCCTTTGTTTACAGCAAAGTGAATCGGTCGCTCGACGTGTTTGGATTATCGACAGTTTCCAAGGGATTTATTTGTGAAGTTTCACAATTCAGCTCTTTTTCTCCGTTTTCGAGGTTGTCGATCATGGTGGCGATGACAAAGAAAGTTAAAATCTTTCAGATAATCTTTTCCGATCCCAGTAAGACTTTTTACTGCGGCGGAGACACGGTGTCCGGCCGCGTCGAAGTGGAGGTCAGCGAAATGATGCGGGTGTCCTCGCTGAAGCTTCTGGGTCTGGGCTGCGCCAAGGTGGAGTACGCTAAAGGCAAGCAGCGGTGCCGACAGGAGGCCGAGTACCTCAGGCATGAAACGGTCCTGCGACTGCAAGACCAGCCCACAGGTACGGGATGACCTTTATGCTGGATATCCTGGGATGTGGGTGTTGTAATAATTGTCAGGGCAGCCTGAAAGCTGTGCATGAATAATGCAATAAACGGTTTACTTTCTTTTCCAGACTCTGACGGCTCCGTGGTGTTGAGACCTGGCAACAAGTACGAGTACACGTTTGGATTCGAGCTCCCTCAGCAAGGGTGAGGATGCGCTATGTGACGCATGATTTTCCGTTATCTAAAGAGATGCAGTGCGCACCTCTCCACTGACTTACAAGTGATGGAGCAATAACGGTTCTTACAGGCAGCTGGTGTCGTCATACAAGGGGAAGTTCGGCTACGTCCAGTACTGTGTCAAAGCCGTGATGGAGAGGCCGCAGCAGCCCGTGCTAGAGTGCAAGAAATGTTTCGAGGTGGAGGAGCCGCTGGATGTCAACACCCCAGACCTGCTGGTGAGTTCACGAATGCCAGAACATAGTCAGTGTTTTTGTCATTGCAGCAAGGCCTGCATAACCCAACACTGTCTTTCTGCTGCTCTTCAGTCTCCAGCAGGCGGCATGAAGGAGAAGAAAGTCACCTGCATGTTCATCCCTGACGGTCAGGTGTCCCTGAATGCAAAAATTGACCGGCGCGGATTCTGTGAAGGCGAAGAGATCTGCATCAATGCGAAGTTTGAGAACACCTGCTCCCGCATTGTTGTGCCCAAGGCTGCCATCATAGCCAAACACACCTACCAGGCAAACGGCCGCACCAAGACCCTACGCCAGAAGCTGTCCTCGGTGCGTGGTAACCACATCATCTCTGGGATGTGCGACGCCTGGCAGGGAAAAACGATCAGGGTACCGAAGATCAAACCATCCATGCTGGGCTGCAACATCATCCGTGTGGAGTACGCTCTGATGGTGAGCCTTCAGTTTCTGAAAGTTTTGGTGTTTATCTCGTAAACATTGGTGTTAATAACTGTTTTTCTACATCGTAGATTTACGTACACATTCCTGGTAGTGACAAGCTGATCCTGGAGTTGCCTTTGGTCATTGGGACCGCCGGGCTGGGCAGCCGCAGCAACAGCGTGAGCAGCCAGGACAGTTCAGCCAGCATGACGTCGCAGAGCTGGGTGTCTCTCAGGATGCCTTCTGAACCTCCGAGCTACTGCGACGTGACCCGGGACTGCCGCCTCGAACAGCCTCTCACACCTCTCCTTGATGACTTTGACGGCGATGACAGTCCCATCTTTATGAACGCACCAGCCTTCCAGTACCCAGCGCCGCCAGCATACAGCGAGGT